TTTTTTTGTCTTGGGATATTCGTAGCGATAAAGAAATATAAAATTTAGCATCCTAATTTTGTATGATGATCCTACACACATACAGATAAAAAGAGATGGTGCAGCATTCATAATATCAGACACCAATATTTTTATATGGAAAATCTGAATAGGGAAAAAATCATAGGGTCTGACAGTTTAAGTGAATCCACTTGTATTTGCAATTGATTACAAATGAGACCCATTATTGGAGGGAAGGCATTGGCTTGATGTAACAAACATACAACATATAGAGTGTGTTACATGGTGGAAATAGGAAGAATCATTATTGATGTGTTCGTTTCGTCGGAAGGAACATAGTCAGTGGACGACGGACGACTAAAAGAATATTGTCTGGAGACGGAAGTCGGAAGGTCCATAGTCGGAGATTGGAAGGACCGTTAACAGGCAGAAGTCTGGTATTGGATAGAAATCCGACGACGGGCGGAAGTCTGGCATAGGGTAGAAGTCCGACGAAAGTCCAGCGACGAGCAGAAGTCCGACGATGGATAGAAGTCTTGCATCGGGTAGAATTCCGTGAAAGTCTGGCGACATGCAGAAGTCCGACGAAGGGAAAAAGCCCGACGATGGGCGGACGCTCGTCGTCGGGTAGAAGTCCGACAAAAGTTCAGTGATTGGTAGAAGTTCGACGACGAGCATAAGTTCGACGTCGAATAGAAGTCCGATGAAAATTCGGTGACGGGCAAAAGTTCAGCGACAGGTGGAAATCTGACATTGGGTAGAAGTCCGGCAATTGACAGAAGTTCAGCGACGGACGAAAGTTCAGCGTTGAGTAGAAATCCGACGACTGGCTGAAATCCGGTGTCAGTTGGTGGCAAAAAAGAAATCCATCATCAGCAGGTAGCCGGGCAAAAGTTCGACGACAGTCGGTGGCCGGATTGAAGTCCGATATTGGTCAAGGAGTTTCGTGGCAAGTGAACTCTTCATTCTCTTTTTATCTTCTTGCTTAGGCTCTTTTCCTCCTCTTCTTGCTTGGGCTCCCTTCCTCCTCCTTCCATGAGAAATCGAGTGGTCTATTTATTGTTTTCCGAGAGTGGCATGGTCAATAAATGGGAGGAAGATAAAGGGTAAATTGAGAGTGGTTTGAATGAACGTCCGATATTAAATCCCTTGATTATTGACCATTTATTATGCATTTGAATGTCTTAATGATATCATAATTTAGCGATATTGGGCTCATTGTATTCGTTTCGTCGAGCTGCTTGATTCAACTATAAGCATGACACGTTTGAAAACCGTTTGAAAATCCAAATTACGATTTGAACCCTCCAAATGCGCTTCGAGTATTTGATTTCAACTTATTTATAATCAAGAGTGAATCAAATTTGGTGTCGTTGGGTTCGTATTTCCGAGACGTTCAATTCAACTGTAAGTTTGCTGAATATATATATATATATATATATATATCATTTAGGGGAACTTGTTTCAAAATTGAATTCAAAGATTAATTTTGAACTTGTGAATCAACCCTTCGATAAGCCATTGAACGATTAGGACTCCGCCACGGCGTAAGTGCATTCAACAGACACTCACAAAAAAGAACTCTGAATAAAAAATAATGATACTACAATTATATTTTAGATGATTAATGAAAAGATGATATCATGTTACTGAAGGAAGCCAGCCCTCCACAAGCCCTATATTAATCAGAGCTCTACTTAGTGGGCAAATCCTTTATTAACAAAAATACTTAGTTTAAATTAACACATTAATCAAAATGATATATTAGTGAGACGCAAAAGACAGATAGTATACGAATCGACTTATAGAATTACATATACTGCTAATAGGTTTAAGAAATTAGTTGATATATAAATAAACACAAGCTTTTTGGATATTATACTAATGAAAATGTCTAAATCTAATATTCCTTTCATCAGACACAAATCTGTTCAAATGCTCAGAAGACACTACGCCCTTAAAAATGAAAAGTTACTACACAGCTGCAAGACCTTCCCATCCGAGAGATTATTGGGTTCGGATACCGGACACAGCTTACTATTCGGTACTTCACAGTACCGAGTAATACCAAACTCGGTACTATGAAGTACTGAGTTCGGTACTCTGAAGTACTAAGCTCATACCGAGCTCAGCACCGAGTAGGAGATGATGTGGCGTATTTTCATTGGGCTCCGGATATCGTCCGTTGTCCGAACCCTATAATTTCCCCTTCCATCCACATGCTCGCCTGAACAAAAAGTGAACCCTTTTACTGAACGGTCAGAGGCAAAATCATGAACGCATTGCTTACCGGTATAAATGCTTTTGTTTAACTATCTCTGGTTTAAAGCTCCCCCAGAATTGCTACCAGTTAGCTTTAGCACAGAAAGTCACAGCGTTGAAAATGTATGCATACAAAATTGAGCACATGAAAATCAAGTGACTTCATTGTTTCAAGACAATGGCAAGCATGAAGTTACAGTGAAGAACATTAGTAGCAATATTCTTAATTAAAATTAGTTCACATTAAGAACATAAATTCAAAGTTACTGAATAAGTAGCAGGCCATCTTCACTCATCTGCAATACACAAAATGAGGAAATGAATGATGCTCAGAGTTATCATAAGTCAAAAATGCTGGACGAGTTTGAAACTAACCATTTTGTGATAAGGAAGTGGTGGATGAGAAATCAGAAGAGACCATCGGTATCGAAATGGAGAGCTGAGTGGTGGCAAATGAGGCACGATTTGACCGTTCATCCTCTTCTAGATCAGACCATGAATCCCTCTTCATTGGCCATTCATCAAAGAAGGCTCGGAGTGGTTGCACGATTTTGACAGTTGGCTCTAATGAACTAAATTCGCTCCCAAAGAATGAATCCTGGTTCTGTTGATGCATGGACCTAACTGTGACAGACCTAAGATCTTGCATTGGTTGAAGCTGAAGGTAATTGTTCTGGATGAAAGAGTCGTCTCTCTCTTTGGATACTGGAAATGAAGAGATCGAGGATGGCATCAAGCTCCATGAATTGTCGAATGAAGAGTTCATGGAAAGATCTCTCCCAGTTCTAGAAGCTTCTGAGAAGAAACTACACTTGTCCAGCTCAGGTTTCGATTCATTAATGTACCTGAATGTCTAGGTTAGATGACAGAATATGCATCCATGAGCAACCAGAATCATAGAATGCACGATGCAGCAAAATCAATTTTCTCTTCAAATCTTAAGTTTATCAATAAAGAGCAGATCTGATTGTGATTGCATTAGTTTTTATGATGGATTTTTTCTATGTAATATTGATTGATAAGGCATCAATGATAAATGATTCCTAAAAGGTCTGCTTTGGAACCCATGGTCCTGAAATATTTAGAACAGATGAAGAAGAATTGCTGCTGCACTTAGAACCAGAAGTGTGCAAACAAATATAATTTTATAAATGTTGAAAACAAAATTAATTATCTAAGATAATTGATACTGGACATTCACATAGCATATATCTATAGAAGTGATGATTACACCTCAATGGTTAATTTTTTTTTTCAAAATTAGTTATTTCACTCCACTGAAGAGACAAGATTATGCAATTCTTATCTTTGCAGGCATATTAACCACAACAGCAATAGTAGAATCATTCGAATACTTTGGAAATAAGTTCAATCTTTCTGTCTATAGTCTAGCATAACTAGAAGAATGGGAGACCAGAAGCTATCTTTAAGCTTGATCACAAAGTGGGTATACTTAAAAAGTTCGAGAAATGATTACAAACAACCTGTTAAGCAAAAAGTCACTGTAGATAAATATCTAACAGAACAAAATACTCTTAATCATGAGGCGTAACACAAAAGTACGCGGAACAAAAAAAAAAAAAACCCAAACAGTGACTTAGAATAAGTTTTCACCGTTTAGAAGTTTACAAAATTGTTGAATAAACATGAAAAGAAAAATATACTTTCCATCAATATTATGAAGAAAGTTGGAATATAATTCTATCAAGGCACATGATAGGAAATACTTGAGTTCGCAAGTAATCCTATCAGATCTACTTGAGTTCACAAGCAAACCTATCGGCAAAAATAGCGAGAAACGAAGAAATCGTGGTAGAATAACAATCAAACTGACACCGTTCAAGAACAGAGTATCTTGAATAGAAATTACCTGAGTCTCGTCAAACTCAAGAATCAGGAGAACCACCACCTAGTCCACGTTCTTCACCCCTCGGAGATTAATCACCACCGGCTTGGGCTAACCGGATACAGAACTCCGCCACCACCTGTAGAGAAAACAGGATACAGAAATGCGTTCTCGACCTCCGTCAGAGAAACAAAAATGTTAGAATGCAATCCAAAAGCCCCCTTCTATTATTCCAGGTGCCCTTCTAATAGCAACCGGGAAAATGAATCAGAAAATACAATTCAAATGTAGCTACATAAGTGGAAACACAAAAAGCTATAACAGAAACAGAGTAATTACAAACAAACAAATGAAACTGTATCAAGGAACGTAGAAGACACTCCGGTGTCATTCTTCCGGGGTAGGAGAAGTATCTAAATCATAGTGAGGCGTTAAGTCGGCGACATTAAAAGTAGTAGAGATCTGGTAGTCACCAGGGAGATCAATTTGATAAGCGTTGTTATTAATCTTTTTAATCACGCGAAAAGGACCGTCAAGATTAGAAAAAGCTCCTGGAGGAAACCTTTCCTTGCACAACCAAATCCATACAAGATCTCCTTCTTTGAACTCCACGGACCTTCGGGACTTATTAGCTTGCTGCCGACATTTGTTATTGTGTTTTGCGATAGTATCTCTAACCTGTTGATGCAACTGTTGAATTTCAACACTCCTTTGTTCGGCATCAGCACTAAAAGCAGCTGTCTGTACCATGGGAACTAACTCAAGTGGCGTAATTGGGTTATATCCATAAGCAACTTCAAATGGAGTTCTTTTGGTTGCCTGATTAACAGACCGATTGAATTCAAATTCTACCTAGGCTAAGATCAGATCCCACTGTTTGATGTTTTTCCCAACAAAGCAACGCAGAAGATTGCCTAAGCTCCGGTTCACCGTTTCGGTCTGACCATCAGTTTGGGGATGGGCAGCTGAGCTAAACTGTAATTTCGTATCAAATTTTCCCCACAGTGTCTTCCAAAAGTGACTTAAAAACTTAACATCTCTATCGGACGTAATTGTTTTTGGAATTCCATGGAGACGGACGATCTCCTTAAAGAACAAATCTGCAACGTGTGTGGCATCCAGCGTCTTTTGGCAAGGAACAAAATGTACCATCTTGGAGAAACGATCTACCACCACCATTATGGAATCCTTGTTCCTCTGCGTGCGGGGTAGTCCAACGACAAAATCTAGGCTGATGTCAACCCACGGGGAGCTGGGCACGGGCAGAGGAGTATACATTCCCGCATTGATACTGGAAGTTTTTGCTCTTTTACAAATACTGCAACTTCTCACAAATCTTCCCACATGTTTCGAAAGTGAGGGCCAGTAAAAATTTTCCCCCAATAATGCTGCGGTCTTTTCTCGTCCAAAATGACCCGCCAAATCTCCCTCATGGCTTTCTAAGATAAGCGTCAATCGCAGCGAACAGTTTGGAATACACAATCGCTGTTTAAAAAACAGGTAACCGTCTGTAATGTGGAACAACTTGAATGGACCTTGTAGGCATTGTTGCCAGATGGTCCCAAACTCTGCATCTTCAGCATATAAATCCCGGATGACTTCAAATCCAACTACTTTATTTTGCAGAGTTTGTAGAAGTAGATGTCGTCGGCTAAGGGCGTCCGCCACTTGGTTGTTATGTCCAGCCTTGTGTTTCAGAACATAGTGAAACGCTGATAAAAACTCAGACCACTTAGCATGTCGAGCTTTGAGTTTCTTTTAATGATTTAGAAAACGAAGAGCCTCATGGTCGGAGAAAAGCACAAACTCGCTGGACAGCAAATAGTGACACTCCAATGCTGCAAGGCTCGAATAATTGCGTAGAACTCCTTGTCATACGTGGAATACTTTCGCCTGGCGTCACTCAATGTTTCACTGAAATAAGCTACCGGATGGCCCCCTTGAGTCAAGACTGCACCGATGCCAACATTTGACGCATCACATTCAACTTCAAAGGCTTGATGGAAGTTAGGCAATGCTAATGTGGGGGTCGACGATAGCTGCTGTTTCAAAGCATCAAAACTAACTTGTGCGTCCCGATTCCATTCAAACTGATTGGCTCTGAGAATTTCCGTCATCGGAGCAGCAATTGTGCTGAAATTCAGGATGAATCTTCTGTAGAATGATGCAAGTCCGTGAAAACGACGGATATCTGTGAACGACTGAGGAACAGGCCAACCACGGACTGCGTCCACTTTGGACAAATCCACCTTCAATCCTTCGGCAGAGAGCTGGTATCCCAAAAACAAAATCTGTGGGACTGCAAACTGACAGTTCTCCACATTAACAAACAGCTGTTGCTCCCGAAAGAGTTCAAGGATACGCCGTAGGTGGATGCGATGCTCCTGAATGTCAGAACTATACACAAGAACATCGTCAAAGTATGCAATCACAAATTTAAACAGAAATGGTTGCAGAATATGATTCATTAATCTCATGAATGTGCTCGATGCGTTGGTTAAGCCGAATGGCATGACCAACCATTCGTATAATCCCTCGAGTGTTTTAAATGCAGTTTTCCACTCGTCGCCCGGCCTCATCCGTATTTGGTGGTAACCACTGCATAAATCCAATTTAGAAAAGATGGTAGCACCTTGTAGCTGGTCGAAGATGTCATCTATGCGAGGGATAGGGAACCTGTATTTGACGGTAATTTTATTGACGGCCCTACTATCTATACACATTCTGTAAGTTCCATCTCGTTTTGGAACCAACAAAGCAGGCACAGCACAGGGGCAGACACTATGCCTTACAAATCCTTTGCTTAACAACTCCTCCACTTGTCGTTTGAGCTCAGCTTGTTCATCAAGACGAAGTCTGTAGGCAGGGCGATTGGGAATGACAGAACCAGGAACAAATTCAATAGCATGTTGAATCTGCCTTTCTGGAGGTAATCTGGCCGGTAGAACACATGACAGGACGTCTGGATACTCATTCAGGATGTCCTGTACCAGTTTGGATTCACTGGACTGAACTTCATTGGCCACCAGAACCAGCAATACCAACCCAATTCTAGCCTCCCGGAAAGCTTCCAAGAACAAAGAACGAGTTAATAGTTGAGGATTTGCTTTAACCGCAGGAGCGTCTTGTAGGGGAACTAAGACAATCTGTTGGTTCTGATGCTTGAACGAATAGGTATTAGATTCTCCATCATGAACAGTCTTCTTATCAAACTGCCACGGGCGGCCAAACAGAAGATGGCAAGCGTCCATCGGTACTACATCACACCATACCTGTTCCGCATAAGCACCAATGGAGAAATTCACAAGACAGCGCTTCGATACCTGGACTTCGTTCTCTTTCCTAATCCAAGATAATGCATAAGGTTTGGGATGGTCGACCGTGGGCAACTCAAGCTTGCTGACCATGGTTGTGGAGACCACATTCTCACAACTTCCGCTGTCAATAATCATCTGACAGACCTTTCCTCCAACCGTGCACCGGGTCTGGAAGATGCTGTGACGCTGACCAGAACTACCCTTCTGAGAATTAAGCAGTCTTCTGAGAACAAGCAAGCTTCCCTCATCAGGTGGAATCACCATGGTTTCTGCCATCGGATTGTTCTCTGATTCAAGCTCCATCATCTCTTCTTGTTAAGCATCAACTTCCTCTATCAAAGTAACAATCCTACGATTTGGGCATCCTGAGGCAATGTGGCCAAATCCTTGGCACTTGAAACACTTTCTTGGAGGTGCTCCACTAGTCCCCTGTAACTTCACTGTTCCAGTAGAAGATCTAGTATTCTCCTTGTTCCAAGGAGTTATCCACGTAGTTTTTCCTTCAGTTTTCTTGACTTGATTTCGATCAATTCCTTCCTCTTGAACCGGATTTTTAGTTCGAGACCACCTGTTGGATCGTTGTTGTTTTTCCACTTTGAAAGACAGATCAAACACATCTTGTAGCGTCCAATATGGTTGCAACTGAACCACATGGGCTATCGTTGGCTGCAATCCTTCTAAA